GCCTCATACTAAGTCTAAATAATCAAAGAACAACATACTTCGCCTGGGCAGCATTCCGGGTAAGAACAAAAGGTTTCAGTGGAGTCCTGACTTGCCGAGAAGTACTGTGCAGTGGTGGTGCTGAAGACTGAAGATGGAAACAATGGTCACAAGACAAACGTGTAGACCACAATCCCCTTCTCTGCTTCCCACCCCAAACAAGTTATTAAAGGTCCCATAGAAGAGAAACGCCTTTGCTGTCAGAGCAACATCCACAAGACAGACAATTCAGGCCTTAATCCAGTTTAAATCATTAACTCCATCTGTGAGCTTCTACAGATCACTTCTCTTTGCGCCTTTGTCACACCCGCTCTGGTCAAAGCGGCAAACTGATAGAGCTAAACCAGATCAGCTCAGATCAAAGCATGAAATACAGCTTATTTTCCCCAGGGATCAAATGCAGTACAGCCTAAAGCAAGTAGAGCTCATGGTTCCTGATGATAGCACCCAGGACACTAGAGAAGAGCAGAGTTCTGCAATGTCAGTAATGACCTGCACAAACCAGCTGTGCCACGGTCTATATCAGCACATTATTATTTCTTATTTCTAGACAGACATCTTAGGTGAGTAACATAAAGCTCAGAAAGACTATTCTCCACTGCAGGTCTAGAAGCTTTCATCATTCAGAACAGGCATTTCTTTCTGCAACATCTGGACATGTTGTAGACCAGAAGCATAGGTTTGAAAGAAATCACAAGGGTGGTCTTTTAATTTACAAATGTACTTAACTTCTTTAGAGCTGGCAGAACCAGCCAACTGGAGAAAAGCCTTTGCATGCAGACCGGTTCAGCTCCAACAGTCAATGCTCTAGCATTTCACAAGCCATGACTCTCTAGAACATCTGGTAGCAGCAGATGGTGACTAATCCAAAAACCAGACCACTGCCCATTCAGGATTAAACCAAATCCCATATGCTTGGGCTGTGATTGAGCTAAATTTCAATCAAGAATTCACAGAACAAAACTTATGCAACTCCGTTACTGAATTCCTCCGAGGTTCATTCACCCACAACAATGTCTATCATCAGGTCTAACTACCCACAACCCACAGGACCTGCAGTTCAAGAGAGGTCTCATACCTGTTTTGCTGTACCTCTGCTCCTCAAGATCACCACTTCTTGGTCAATACTCTCAATTTCCTCCAGACTGGTGTTGATCCATTTCTGGATTTGTAGTATGTAAAATTCCCGTATCTGATCCTCATCTGCTTGCCCACTGTCCACAAAGGTTCTCATAGAGGCCAACCTGTTCTCCAGTTCCTTCTTCTGGTTATATCTGTCTCAGAGAGAACAACATGAGATCACCACATAACCTTTCTCTAGCCCAGACCAGATACAGTGCTTTCCAAAATAAACAATTTCCTATTTCTTGAAATTCAATCAAATGTCATCAGAGAGCTACCTCCTGCTCCAGTCCCCTTGTAACTGCTCTTCACAGAGATGCTAGTTGCTGACCAGTGCTCATTAAGGGAAGCAAACCTCAGGTATTCATAAAGCTCCTCAGGTCTTTGACAAATTTCTTCGTGTGAGGAGGACCCACTCATTTAACAACTGAGCAAGAGCCCTGTCGAAGTGAAGTAGAGCCTTACAGGAACGTACCCGTGTTAAGAAGAGAAGGAGCACTGGCAGCACCAGATCACGCTGGTTGTCATTTACCAACAGCCTCTAACAATGCGTAAGCAAGAGGCAAAATGCCAAGCAGGGGACCCATCTCCCCACCTCATCTGACTGACAACAGAATCATAGAATCATGAGGTTGGAATAGACCTCTAAGATCATCATGTCCAACCGTTGACCTAAGACTACCACGCCCACTAAACCTGAACACCTCCAGGGACGGTGACTCCACCA